TCTGGGGCGGGGTTTGCCAAGGGGTAGGCCTATTAATATTAATCAGGACCCTCCCTGCATTGTTTTGACCGGCTCCTGGGCTCGCACAGTGGAGACGCCTACGGCATGTCTCACTCGCAATTTTCTTCAGTAAACCTCTGGATATCAACTGGTTTCTCATCAAAGTACATACTCTAGGATACCATATTACAATAAAAAGTAAGTGCTAAACTCATAAAGGTCATAGGGTACCAAAGACCACCACAAGTAGGCCTTTTAATTATTATTATAATCAAGGGGGAAGCGCTAAACCCGGAAGATTATACAGCGCCTGGGGGGGGGGGGGGATGTGGAAGGCATTCAGGCTTAATTCGGGGAACTGGAGCACAGATCCAATTCCCTAAATCAAGAGCCCCTCACCAACATCAAGGAACCTTCCTTGAGGGGAGGCCTTTTAATAACCTGTATGAAGGGGGATATTTTCAGAAAATTTGCATTTATAAATTTCATGTATAATTACAGTATCAAACCAGCTTGTTGATTACCTAAAGCCCTTGCTTTTTCTTTGTATATATGCCATACTCTATTTTTTTTTCTTTACCCTCAACTTGGCATTGCATAGTAGACCAACTCTGTTCTCAGTAAGCTAGTAATTGGTCCTGTATATTATTATTATTATAATCAAAAATAAGCGCTAAGCAACAAGGACTATACAGCGCTGCAGGGCAGGAAGCGAGGGCATTTGGTCCTGTATAGCCCTTGTGGCTTAGCGCTTCTTTTTTATTATAATAATAATAATAGTAATTGGTCAGATTCAGAATTTTATTTTTTAGGACTTTCATCATGCAAGACTTGAATGAAATTACTATTTCATTATCTGATACTTAGCCCGTGTGGTTTAGCGCTTCTTTTTGATTATAATAATTATCTGATACTGCATTTCCAAATACAATACTGTTTTATATATTTTTTTTTTTTTTAGGTTTTAGCTGTCATTTTCAAATGTGTACTCACAAAGGTGATCATATCTAACATTCATAATGTATCAAATGGCTGCTCTTTTGATCTATTTTATCCTCCCACAGCCCAATGGGCCAGAATTGGTCTATGACTCTCCACTACTACCATGATCCAGAATGCTCCAGGCCTTCCTTCACTCTCCAAGCTACTGGCACCTATGTCCATGCCACGCCCACACCTTACGCCTATGACTTTACAGTTAGTCATCTTGTAATGACTCCAGAAGACACTGATATGACCAATGCTCTCAATTCATACAAAGGCAAGGAGTGTGGGTGGCCAGGAAGGTGGGCACCCAAGAAAGCACAAGATGTAACCTTTACTGGAGGCTGCAAGGCCATTGGTGTGCGGGTACCGGTTGTAGAAAAAGAGATTATCCGCATGGGTGTGGACGAATCAGGCGGCATGTGGCTGACATTGGGACAAACACCCACAACTCCACGGCAGATGGGAGATTCCCCCCGGCCCACCAGTTGGGGGCCCACCCTCATTAGTTGCAGACACTACAGCACCAGTGACCAAGACAACTTTCTTCAACCTATGGTGGGTGCCCGCACTGCTTCATCCAGCAACTTGCTGACTTGCATCAAACCTGTTACTCTCATGCTTCTAGTCCTGCTTGCACTTGCTGGAGAACCCTGAGGCTTAAGTTGTTGGAATTGCATACACTGTATAAATATGTGAAAGTTGTCATAAGCAATGAAGTTTGAGTCCCATACCAATACCAGAATGAGATGTACTGTGCTCTAAGGTTTACACTTGGGTGACTAGGTTAGCAGTCGGTTATAGATGTAGACTTCAGTTTATGTAACCTTGAATATTCATAATTATGTTTGCTAAGGCAGCATATATCACAATGCTGAACTCGCTTGTGTCATTACTACAGGTCAGTGTATACAGTACATCCCAACCAGGGTAAAACTTAAATACTGTAATATAGCTGAAGCTCTCATGACCTATTGACAAATACGGTATGTCATTATGTATTTGCAATATTAATGTAGTAACATCTCAGTTTTAAAAGCATTTATATAAATTTTGTATTACCTCTGTCCTATTTGTCTTTAACATTCCATTTACTTATAGAATAACAGCTGGTGTTAAAGAATAAGTCGCAGTGCCCAAATAACTCGCACTTAGAGAAAACTTATGCTGTTTTGGTACGTCCTGAACTGTTATCCAGTCACAACTGAGCAAGAAATCCAGGAGACTAGAGGAAGTAGGGGAATTAGAAACAGCAGTGGTAGTATTACACGTACACTCCCCCATGATTATAATAATAATAGTATTACATGTAAATATAATATGGCATGTAGTCAAGGAATTAGTACTGGTACATAAAAACACAGAGGCACAGCAGGATACCTACTGGACCACATTGCAGGATTAGTAATAAATTAATTTAATATCCACTGTCTTGATGTATTGCAACACTAACACCTGTCCCCAAGGGAGCACAGATACTCTGCAATAAGCCTATTGGCCCATACTAGGAATGAAAAGGAAGCAAGAAAAACGAAAATCAGAAGATGGGAAAGGCAAAGAATATACAGAAGACAGGTAAGACAAGATGAGGTAGCATAATCCAGGTCAAGTTATGAGTGTTCTCAAGATTAGAGCACTTGACAAAGTATTGAGAATGGTAGACATCTACAGAAACAAAGTCAGGACTAAGATTTATGTTAGGAATGTGTATAAGGGCCGATTTATCAAGGTGTTTGTGAAGGGTAGAAGGTTTTAGCAGACGACCAATAAGATGGCTGTGATCTTAAATACAACAGAAAAAAAACACTGACAGTGTCAAGGTGAACACTTCCTTTGTGCTTTGCAAGTCTCTCAGACAGTGGCCTGTTTCACCAAAGTATTGTAGAGGATAAGAGGAGCTGGAAATGGAGTGGCCCTTGTGGTTTAGTACTTCTTTTTTTTTATTACAATAATAATGGAAATGGAGTAGACATCAGTGACAAAAGTATAAACTATATTACTACAAAGAGTGCTAGTTTGACGGAAATCAAGTTTTAGATATAAAGGATGGAGGGTGTTTAGTTTTTGAACATTAGAAATGTAGAGAAGGCAAAGAACAAGAGACTGCACATAAGCTAGAGTGAGAAGTTTGTTGAGCACAAGAGCAGGCAGAGTTAATGAAGATTCCCGTTCAGTTTTGAACTTGAAAGGAGCAAGATTGTTAAAGGCATTGAGAAAAGGTTGGAAGAGACTAGTGATGCATCAGTAGACACTGATGCTGCTGGTGTCTATTCCATTTCCTGCCACTTTGGTGAAACTGACCATTCTCTGACACTTAAAAGAGTACAAAAGTATTCACTTTACTGATGCTAACAATGATCTTTTCTGGCATGTCAGAGATCACAGCCATTCTTTTAACTGGTCTTCTGCTTAAGAACTATCAATCCTTGTAACCTTCACAGATACTGTCTTGTAAAATCAACCTTTATACACATTTCTAGCACACAAATATTAGTCCTGGCTTTGTTTCTGTAGATGCCTACCTTTCTCAATACATTGTCAAATCATCTAATCTTCAGAACACTCATGAGTTGACCTGACCTTTTCTTCCTCTTGACCTGTCTTCTGTATTTCCTTTGACCTCTGAGTTTCCTCTTTCTTGCTTCCTTTTCTTTCCTAGCACGGGGAAATAGGTCTATTGGATTGTATCTCTGCCCGTGTCAAGATGACTCATGAAATCGCAATGACACGATTGCAAACAAACCATACCACGGGAGGGGATAGAACCCGCGACAGTCTGAAGTTTTGAGACTCTCTGATCGTGGGTTCTATCCCCACCCATGGTATGCTTTGTTTGGATGTCAAGATACTTCAATCTCCGCCATTCTGAGATGTACAGTGGACCCAAGGATATTGCAGTCGTCGGATTTCATAATATTTGGAAATCTTAACATTTTTTCATCAAAATTTTGGCTCGGTGATCGTTATTGAGCTCGGTAATAGTCATTCGTCCCAAACACGCCTGCATAGCCAGTGAGCACGCTCCCACACATACGCTACATTTCGTATTATTCCATTCCTTTTAGTGCTTGCAACTGCTAAATAAGCCACCATGGGCCCAAAGAAAGTTTCTGGTGCCAGCCAGCCCTTTGGTAAAGGGCTGAGAGAGAGAGGGGAGAATGTGCCTTCAGTGATTCTGCGATACATACGATACTAAAGCAGCAAGAGTCAGTAAAGGCTATAGTGCCAGCCAGTAATAAAGTGTAGCATTAACAGTGTAGCAAGTTAAGTGATTAATCGATAGGAAAAGGACAGCACGAGACCGACCCCTCCAACGTTGGAGTTATATAGGGCGACTGACAACACCGCCACCTCTGCTGCCGCCATCACCACCACTATGTAAGGATTATCTTTCAGTGGCCCTTATACACCCAACAACAACCACCACTTGTCACATACATAATGACATATCCATTCTAGAGTATACATCATGTTTCTGTGGTATATACGTAATGACATATCCATTCTAGAGTATACATCATGTTTCTGTGGTATAAATATGTATTGTTCATTATGTCACATTAGATGAATTGTGCTAGATAAATAAACCGTAGAGTTGATATTAGTGTCATATTGTAGGACTATCTTGTCCCGACTCCACACACCCACCCCTGCCGCCGCCACAATTCCTAACATACGCCAGAAACGCATCTTTCCGGAACGTTTTTGAGCAACGGGTCCAGCAACTCTCAAGCTGGTCCTAGTGGCATTAAAAAACAAAGGGAAGTAACCCCAGAAAAGGACTAGGTACCTGAAGTTTTTACGGAAGGGGATTCCCCTTCCAAACAGTAATTTCTCCATCCTCTCCCCTTCTTCCATCTTCAATACACTAAGAAGAGTCTTCAGTAAAGTGTCATGTTGTTTTATTCTTCATGTGTCATTGTTTTCTGTGCAGGTAAATGTATATTTCATGTAAAAAAAAAAAAATTATTTTTAATACTTTTGGGTGTCTGGAATGGATTAATTGAATTTACATTATTTCTTATGGGGAAAAATGAATTCGGAAATCATCAAATTCAGCTTTAGTCACACTCTCTGGAACGGATTAATTACAATAACCAGGGGTTGACCGTAATTTACTCTCATTACTCTTGCCAGTCCTGCCCAGCATGGGCCAGTTGATAAATTGGGGTGCCCCCTCTGTTCATGTACTATTATTATTAATGATTTTATCACCACTACACTCCATTACTTCTACCTGCAATACTGCCACTGTAAATACCATACTACTACAAACACTGCTGCTGCAACTAATCCTACCTCTCCTCCCTCCCTCCTTCCATCCTGTCTTCCACACTTATTCAAGTCTTCTGTGACTCAACAATGGTCCAGCAGACTGAAACATTATTGTAAGTTTCCTCACCTAAGTGTGGGTTATTTGTGATGTGTTAACTTTAAGAAGTCTTCTTTCTTTCAACACACCGGCCGTATCCCACCGAGGCGGGGTGGCCCAAAACGGAAAAACGAAAGTTTCTCCTTTTACATTTAGTAATATATACGGAAGAGGTTACTAGCCCCTTGCTTCTGGCATTTTAGTCGCCTCTTACAACATGCATGGCTTACAGAGGAAGAATTCTGTTCCACTTCCCCATGGAGATAAGAGGAAATAAAGAATAAGAACTAGAAAGAAAATAGAAGAAAACCCAGAGGGGTGTGTATATATGTGCTTGTACATGTATGTGTAGTGTGACCTAAATGTAAGTAGAAGTAGAAAGACATACCTGAAATCTTGCATGTTCATGAGACAGAAAAAAGGACACCAGCAATCCTACCATCATGTAAAACAATTACAGGCTTTCGTTTTACACTCACTTGGCAGGACGGTAGTACCTCCAACTTTAAGAAATGCAGTTGAATAATAAAAATTGCACGAATTATGTTCCTAAAGGTCTTGCAAAATCTGAATTCATGAATATTTGTACTGTAATACAAAATTGTCAGCATAAAAGCTTGTTTCAGATGCCTTATCTTTTAAAATATGCTAATCTGGTTAATACTGACATTAATGAAAGTCGCTGAAAAAAAAAAAAAAAGTTGGAGTGGTCAAGACATCAAGCACATCTTGAACAAAGTTCAATGGTTAGTTCTTGATTTAACCCTTTGAGGGTCGACAGGCCCTCTCCGAAACTCGTTCTCAGGGTCGGCCAAATTTAAAAAAAAAAAAATTATTTTCTCTTATGAAAAGATAGAGAATCTTTTCCCGATCATAAAGACACCAAAAGTTTGAAATTTGATAGAAAACTTACGGAATTATGCTCTCGCAAAGTTAGCGGTCTCGGCGATGTTTACGCATCGGCGATTTTGCCCACTTTGAGCCCCATTTTCGGCCAATTTCACTGTACTAGTCGACAAAAACATGAATATTTCGCTAGAACTCCATTTTTTCTATCGAATGGGTGCAAGAAACCACCCATATATGAAATTCAACTATCCAGTACAGTGGTCAGAATTTAGCAATTTTGCCAATTTCACACAAATTTCAAAAGATGCCAATTTCCGAATAGGGTCCAGAATAAACAAGAAAAGACATTCCTGGCACTAAAATGACATTTCCTCTAGTCATTAGTCACGTCTCAAGGCCCCTCTTATATTCTTTTGCTTTCCACTTTGAATTTTTATTCTCACAAAAAATATAAGATTTACTGTTATGCAGACTACTGCATTAGTGTAAAAAATGGTATAAATATTATTGGTGCACTTGTGAAAGAATATTAGACTCACCAGTTGACGTGTATTGCACGCTTGGCACGATTTGTTTACTTTTGAAGTTTGGTAAAAATCGAACATTTCTGCTACTTTGAGCTCAATTCAAGGTATCTTTTTATTGTAAAACCAGTCAAAATCAACTCAATTTCTGTAAGATGTCTTCCATTCTATAAAATGAGACCAAGAAAACTAGAATACAACAATAAATACCATACGAAAATACACTGCAAAGTCGCTGATTTATTCCAAAAAAATGGTCAAAGTTTTTTTTTTCTCATTATGCACTGTGTGCTGCAGGATTTTTTTTAGACTGTGCACACTGACCACATAGACCCATTCTTTCATATGAAGGCCTACCAGCTTTCTCCCACTAGATTTGAGGCCGCTAGAATTTATGCGTACTAGTACGTCAAAAACCCCTACGCATAAGACGTACTAGTACGACCAAAACCCTCAAAGGGTTAAGGGTCATGTGTCAAAAAAAGAACCTAGGGTGCTCATAAAATGCCCTTCAGTGAACTTAGTGGATGAATGAAGGATGCGAATTACAAAGCTTGCAAACTTCAGATTTTAACTGTATAATTTGATACATGTTCCTGTAAACCTAGACTAATAATCCAGTTTTACATTTTACTGTATATATGATGAATTCATCCAGCTAGATTTGATGTGCTAACATGACAATGTGTTTTGCTGTTGTTGACTGATAGTTACATACTATAAACTCTGGATCACATTCATAATTTTAATGAATGTTATGTGTGGATTAGTTCCTATTTTGACTGGCCTATATTTGCCAGTTACAAACCGAAAATTTCATCTCCTCCAATAAACCTGATGGAAGACAACCTGCACTGGGTGCTCATGGTTAATTCCTAGTTTTCCTAAGCTGAATAGATTTATCTTGGTAATTACATCAGGATGTCTAGCAACATTTCTACTAATTTAAGTAATAATCTCAAGGTTTTATTACTTTTAATTTGAAGATTTATGTAGATGCATGATTAAATGTGCTGTAAAATAGAATTACACAAAATATACTAAGAGTAAGTACACTTGACCTGCCTAAATTATGTACATTAGTCTAATTGTACAATTCTGGACAATAATTTGTAAGGCAGTAATATAGTACAGTACAGTACAGTTTCACTAATTGTTTTAGGGAATTTGTACAGCAGTTCTACATTTCTTTAAGTTCTGACTAAGTAAAAAATAGAAGAGCAGTTATTAGTAGCTGTCATAGCATAATGTGCCTGTATGTTAAAGGCCAACAAAATAAAATCACTGAAGCATGGGTTGTTCAGTTCAAAGGAGAGGTGGCAGCTTAGCCCTATCACTGCTTATTTAGATCTACGTTATTGATGCCAGAGTCGCATAGATCTACATTTTAAGCATAGTGCCCTCAAATATGCCGAGTGGTAAATTTTGGCCTAAAGGTGAATGGGTCTGTGCAATGAGTGTATTGACAGAAATGATGACCTACTAATGAAATCAAGATGATTTTCATCAATTTCAGGACCAGAAGCACTGTAACTTGAAACAGGGCTTCAAGTACCAAAAATATTCAATTTTTGATGATTTTCCTGAGGAAGGGGAAGGTCCCCAGTCTATTTTATGGATTTTTACTAGGTCTTCTTCAATTACTGGGATGCCCTATAACCAATTATTCCTGGTTATATTTTATTAATCTGTGAAATAGGGTATTATTATTATTATTATTACAGTGGACCCCCGCTTTACGATCAGCTCCCAATGCGACCAATTATGTAAGTGTATTTATGTAAGTGCGTTTGTACGTGTATGTTTGGGGGTCTGAAATGGACTAATCTAATTCACAATATTCCTTATGGGAACAAATTCGTTCAGTAATGGCACCTGAACATACTTCTGGAATGAAATAATATCGTAAACCGGGGGTCCACTGTATAATCAAAAAGAAGCGCTAAACCAATATGAAATAGGGTAAAACTTGGATTGTGTGATGATGGATTCAAAATGGAGCACAAGTGTAATAATATAGGAGACAAGAGGACATGCTTAATGAACAGAGGATAAATTGCTTTAATTGCTAGAATGTATACAGTGTTAATTTTGGATTCTGCTTTGAAATTTGAATTTTGTGTAAAATTGTTGAAATTACTGACTTGATGCATTTTATAGGATAGTTTCAGTAACTGAACAAGAGTTTTTTTGCTCAATCAGTAAAACGTAAGGCATACTAGTGAAATAGCCAAGAATTTGATTCACTTGCCCAATAGAATTGGCTTAAAATAGGCCTCAAAGTGGGCAAAAATCACCGATGTGTAAATTGTGCCCAGATGGCCAACTTTGCCCCTGTGGAATTCTGTAAGTTGTCTATCAAATTTCATATTTTTTACGTCATTGTCTTCAGAAAACAATTCTCTACAATTTCATAATTTTTTATTTTATCCCAATATTATCAGCACTTAATTTCAGGGATCCTGACAGTGAAAGGGTTAAACCTCTGTCTGCTAATCACAAGCTATTGTGTCTGGCAATTAGGGGATGGAGAACTGAGCCTCCATTACTCCTTATACTGAGGGTAGGCAATTAAAAGTGAACATAGAAAAAAGCATAATAATGAGGGTAATAAAAAAGTCTAGGCAAAGAATATCAAATTGGAGGGAGTATGAAAAAAATGGATATATTTAGATATTTGGGAGTGGACATGACAGCAAGTCTACGAAAGCCAAGGTGAACCACAGAACAGATGACAGGAAAAAAGGTGAGGGGTGTGTTGAAGCATATGTGGAAAGAGTATGAATCTATGAAGGGGGGGGGGATGTACCAATACATTTACATGGGTGTGAGGCATGGGTTATGAATGCTATAGTGAGTAGGAGACTAGAAACAGTGATGTCATGTTTGAGAGCAATATGTGGTCTTACTTCTGGTTTGAAATCAGATTAACAAAATATAACTGAAATGCTCTGCATAACTATGGGCGTCCTGCATGCACACTGTCACCCATCTCTCTATACAAATATTGTATCATGCTGAAATAAAATTACAGTAGGGCCCCACTTATATGGCAGGTTAGGTTCCAGGCTACCACCATAAAACAGAAATCGTTGTAAAGCAGAATGCCATTTTTTCCACTTATATAAATGCCAGATAACAAGTTTACACTAACATATACAGTAGGACTCTGCTTTACAGCATTCCGCTAATATGGCAATTTCAAATTATGACCAAAACTTGCTATATGGCGAGTGGTCTTTCTAATACAGCGCGCCCCACTTGGTTTGTTTACATCCTCCGTGAGCATATCTCTCTATTATGTCCGGAAGTTTTTCCAAAATTTCAAGTGTTTTAAAGTTATTGCATATTTTATATATACTCTGATAATTATATATGTGTACCTGTACCTAAATACATATACTTACACACTGCCTGCGTGCAGGTACACATTAAAATTACTAAGTCTATCTCTACTCTTGAAGACGCCATATAATGATCTCTTGGACGCACTAAATGTCATGTATTACGTTAATACAGACATTTCCATTAATCCGTGTATGATGTTTTTTGAAAATTATGTAATAAACATGCTATGTAACATACAAACATGATGCATACACCCACAGTATAAAAATTGACATAAATATATGATTTGTTTACCAAGTGGTTTGTAGGAGTGTCAGACGAATTACATTTTCTCTAGTCAAACACCAGATCCTTAACTGTAGAAAAATATTCCTTTCGTATGCCTTCACTCTATCTATAGCTATTCACGACCCTTGAGTTTAGCGCTTCTTTTTTATGATTATAATAATAATATCATTCACTCTAAAAATGGTGTGCTGCATGAGAATGGAAGTGTTGCTGTTTATTTATTCTGTACTAACTTGTCAGAATATCATTCCTTTTAAAAATGATGTTACATGAGAATGAAAGTGTTGGTCTTTATTTATTCTACTGTACTGTGAGGACAACTTGTACACAATGTAAGGTGTTTGTATGAACTATAACCAGATGCTTCATCCGTTTGTTTGCATAGTACTCTGCATGGGTGGGGTGGCCAGGCGAGCTACCCTGTCTCCCACACCTGACTTTCTACAAATAAATGCTTTTCACCTCTCGCCCTACATTAAGATCATTAAGACTACAAATATTTTAAGGTAAGTAATGAGTGTGCTGTATATGCATTTTATCACTCTAGGGCGCTTTAAGCATCGTAGTATATTATGTGTGGGTGGGGTGGCCAGGAGGGATACCATACTAACCCACACCTGACTTCTAAAAATAAATACTACTCACTTTTTGCACTACATTAAGACTACAAATATTTTGAGGTAAATAATGAGTGTACAGTGTGTGTATTTTAC